TCAGAGATTGGATTAATGCAGAAAGAAGAAATCTTGGTTTTGAAAAATTAACCACTAGGGAAGAAGAAGAATACAATGAGATACTAACTACTGGGAGCGATGACGGCATGGAGCTCATGGAACATCAATCAATATTGCCAATTCCAGCAGAATGTCCGAGAGATATTATTGATAAGTTACAAAGAAGCTATATAGGAGCTTACAAATATTAGTATGATAATTTGTAATTGGCTACTAAGAGGCCTAGTTCAAACAGAACCCTTCCTAGAAGGTGGCTGCGTAGATTAGGTGCTCTTCAAAAGAATTATATTTGTATTTGAGATTTGAAAGTTCTATTAATAAAATAAAAGGCTCTAAGCGTTGAATTTTATTTATGAATTGTCTTAGTTACTTAATAGTTAATACTTTGAAATTATATTAAATAAATTATAACTCTATTATAAATTTATAATTACTAGAATATTTCATTACAAGTCTTTTGTTTTAATATTTTATAATTCTTTACTTAGTTTTCTAATTTTCATTTTAACATAGTAACATTTAAGTTTATTAAATAAGTCAAAAATCTAGCCGTTGCAAACTTTAAAAACATAGTAAATTTCAAAAACTAGACGTTTTTTTCAAAAAAAAAATACATTAAGGCCTACGAACTCGTCCCGTCCCGTTTCGTCCCGTTCCATCCCGTCCCATCCCATCCCGTTTGTTAGCGGGACGGGATGGGACGAACGTTTTGTCCCGTTTGTCCCGTCCCGTTTTGTCCCATCCCGCCTCCATCCCACTTAAATGTCGTCCCGTCCCGTCCTGTTAATTTGGTCTCGTGCTATCTCGTTGGACAACCATAGCTCTACCTAAGGGAAAATATCCAAGAAAAATACCTTCGTCACTTTTTAGATCAAACTTACATAAATTATCTTTTCCATTATTATGAATGAAGCATTTGCGGCCAAATGGGTGGAAGTAACTGATTTTAGGTTTCTTACGATTCCATAGCTTATATGGAGTCTTTTTAAGAATGGGTCAAATCAGACATCTGTTATGCTTACAGCTTCTACCCAGAAGTGGTGTGGGAGAGAGTTTTCCACAATCAAGGTTCTTACCATGTCCTACAAAGTTCTGTTTTACGTTCTACACTCCATTTTGTTCAGGTGATCTTGAGGAAGAGAAGTTATAAGAGATTCCTTAATCATTATAGAAGTTTTCAAAGGCTCTGCTTTCGAACTCTTCTCCATGGTCACTTCTTATAGCAGAGATGTAATATACATTTTCACGTTGTACTTCTTACAGAAGACTTCAAAAATTCCTTAGAGCTTCATCTTAATGGCTTAGAAAAATAACCCAAGTGAAGAGAAAAATCATCTATAATAACAAAATCATATTTTCTACCACCAATACTAGCAGTTCTAGTTAGACCAAACAAATCCATATGCAAGAGAAAGATGAACGAGTTTGTTTTCCTAATTGACATGCATCACAAATTTAATCTTTTGAAAAAACCTAATTTTGGAAGACCAATGACAAGATCATGTTTAAAAAGTTTTTGAATAGTATGCATGCTAGCATGGTCAAACTTTCTATGCCATAATCAGGGATCATCGATCATAGAAGCTAGACAAATTTGATTACCAAGACTATTTATGTTACTGATAGTATAAACATTCATATCTTCTAGAAAGAATAACTTTACCTGATTCATCTTCTATAAATCAACCATGCTTTTTAAAATGAATCTCATAGTCATTGTCACATAGTTGACTGATACTGAGAAGGTTGTAACCAAGTTCATCAACTAGGTACACTTCGTCTATATCATATGTTGAGCTGAGGGGGAACTCTTTCAACTCCAATTACATTCCCTTTTGATTTGTCTCCAAAAGTCTTTGTTCCTCTATCTAGTTTGGTGACCATCTTGAATAGTTGTTTGTCACCAGTCATATATCTGGAACACGCGCTATTAAGGTACCATTTTCCTTTTCGATTCTTCTAGCGTTGTTCTTGCAAAAAAGAGAAATTACTTGTTTTTAGGTACCAAGCCTTCTAGGGTCCTGAATGGTTAGTGCTCTAAGTATTAGCTTGACTAGAGGGCTTTGGGTCTCCATACCCATCTCCTGTTGTTCTTAAACCTGCAATAATTAGAGGTATGACTGAGTTTTTCATGGTAAAAATGGGAGGGTTATTTGAATTTTCAGAAACTTTTTCTCCTCTAAGTGCCCATTTTTGCCACAATGAGTATACTAGTTCTAGTCGAAGATTTATGAGGAGTGAACTAATTTGATCTAACTGAACTATGACTGGTGGATTTTTGTAATCCATTCAGTTGAAATTGAAGTTCATTAACTTCATCTTGAAGCATATCTCTGTCAATTTCACATACTTCCAACTTCAAAGCCTAGTCTTTGTTTTCTCTTTAGATTTTTTAAAGTTCATTTAGAACTTTCTCAATATCTGTAAAAGAAATATCAATAAATTCTTGGAGTTCATGACAATTAGGACATGTAGGAAGATGTACCTCACTTGTTCCTTCGTCTTCCATGAGACCAAGTTCACCTGAGTCTTCATTGCTATTTTCTTTGATGGCCATGAAGTATATGTTGGCAATTTCCTTATGATAAGATTCTTCTTCATCACTCCAATATCCAAAAGATTTCTTATTTTGAAAGTTCTTACTTAGTTTCTTTTTCAGTTCACGGCATTTAGCTTGAATGTATCCATTTTTTCACACTCGTAGCATCTTCTATTATTTTTGTCATTATCATTGTTTATCTGCCCTTTTCTGAAATTTGAGTTACCTCTTCTGCTATTTCTATTTTTCTTCATCATGGTTGTTACAACTTTGGAAAGCATAACTATGTTCTCATCTTGTTCTCCTCCTCCTCCTCCTCCTCCTCCTCCTCCTCCTTCTTCATTTTTTGATTCAGCCACAAATGCTTTGAATGCAAGTGACTTCTTCTTTTCTTGTTGAACTTTCCTTGTCTAAGTGTGTTTTCTCAAACGTAATTAGATCATCTCTAAGTTCATCATAGGACATTTTGTCAAGATTTTTACATTCCAAAGCAATGACTTTGGGTTGCCAAATTGTGGGAAGACTTCTCAGAATTTTTCTGACTTGTTCTCCACTTTTGATTGGTCTACCAAATGATTTTAAGTCTCCAAGGATTTTCCTGAACCTGGAAAATGTTTCCTCTACTGATTCTCCTTCCTTCATTTGAAATAATTCATAGTCTCGAACTAGGAGATTGATCCTTGTTTCTTTCACTTTGTTGGTTCCTTCATATGTGACATCTAACTTATCCCACATTTTCTTTGCAGTTTCACAGCTTGATATCTTTCATAATCTTCTCCACTGATAGCATTATATAGCAAATTTATTTTCTTTAGCATTCACTTGAATAACGGTCGATTGTTCTTCAGTGTAATCATCTAAATCAAGGAGATCAGATGATACTATGATTTGACCATTGTGATCCTTCTTTGGCGGAATTGGAAGATTTTTCTTTTTGTTCACGCGCCAAACTTTAATGTCATATGACATAGTGTATGTTTTCATGCGCACTTTCCAATGAGAGAAGTGATGACCATTGAAGTAAGGGGATCGTACCTGAGAAGTTCCTTCTTGAAATAGTGCTCCAACGATTGTATTTGATCTCATGATCTTTTCCTCACTTGCTATTAAGTAATATTTGTGAGTCTTGCTCTGATACCAACTGAAAATACGA